TTACAACTTACAACTTTACTTTGCTAATCAGTCCCATAAAATGCATGCATGGAAGACTTTGTTTTCAAGATATCTTCACAAAAAATAAATTATGCACCTGGGATTAAGAAATAAAATCTAATGAAGCACATGGCGGAGGCTTATTTTGTGCCTCTAGATACTGGTAAACTTAATTATTATTACTGGACTTTTTAGTATCACTTGCAAACTAAATGATTAATTAATTAGCTACTTCAAACAATTAATGTCTTTTTTTAATGAAATTCAGGACCAGCACTTAACATTATAGAATAAAAATATTGCATCTAAAACACTGTAATTAAAAATATTGGTTGTACATGTTGCAAGCAGTAAGAAGATGCATTATCCATATTCAAAGCTGACAAGCCCCCCAATCCAATTTGACTGTCGTAAGTTGCTTTCAGTTGACTCTTCCCTTGCTCTTCCCTCGCTACCCATCAAGGTAAACAATTGTGTTCTTTTGTTTACTGCAAGTATATCAAAAGGCCCTCCATCTACTGACTAGGAACGTCTTCTATACTCTGGCACTGTACTTTAAAACTACACAAGCGAATCCAATATTAAACTTAGGGTTACATGTATGTATGGCACATACCCTAAGATAAGCAGCTAGTACAGTAACACTTTTCAACACTTCTTTATCTTAAAATGTACTCTGTGTGCTAAATTTACAATCCTTAAATAGTCGAAAGGAAGCAACCCAGTGCTCACAACAAGGGGTATCGTTGATACTGGTTCTCTATTTATTCCAGAGAGGAACCAAACCTCACACATGTCCTCATTATAAATATTACATGCTGTTAATATTTTTAACTTCTATTGACGTGAAATGGCAATTCAACTTTAAGCACGTCCTTGGAATAAAATGTAAAATTAATAAAACATCCTGACTAAAAGGCAAATTCTCCCAAGATAAATTAGAGAAAATATTATGAAACTTGGCAATTATGAGAATTTTAATGCTGACCTCAACAGACCAGAGCAACACAAGTAGCACCACATCACTACAGCTTATGCAAGAGTTATTATCAGAAAATTTCTCTAATGTATATTATTTATCTCATACCATTTGGTTCGTTGATGGCCATATTTCCTGACCTGGCTGCTTCATCAAATTTTGCGTAAATAATTGATAATCTGTAGGATGAAGGAGAGGAATGCACTGAGCACAAATAGTAAGAGTTATTACTCCTTAACAATACAGATATCACACTCCACTCCATGAATAGCAAACTGTTCCACAGACAGGTCTTATGACATGATTATGATTATGATTGTGCAAGTTCTCTATAAAGTACATGTACCATCCCTTTGTACCGGCTACTTGACTTTGACTTTTAGTCGTACATGTAACCCCCCCAGTGGTACTGAGCAGGAACCTTGTACAGGCTACAAACTAAGGTGTTTTATTAAACATATCTCAGCATTGAGTCATATTTCTGGAAACAATACTAAAAAATGTGGATTTATAACTGATGATTTTACACAACATTTTGATGACTACGTGTCATCATTTTCAAGTGCAGAGAGAATAAAATTGATAACTTAATATAATTATACCGTGCAAGATGATATAACATGAAGGTGTAAAAGTGTACATGTAAATGGTGACAAATTAATTACAGTTTAAATAAATAGTTTGGCGTGCACGGAGTCTGATTGCGTGTTTAAGCATGGCCTCTTCTTTCTTGTGAATAACAGTTCATAAATCAGACATCTTTTCAAGTTAATAAAAAGATGTCAATCACTGAACGGTATGTCTTGATTAAATTTAGTAAATTTGTACCTATGTACTCCAAGACGTTTGAGTAAACATACGTATTATTATTCATTGACTGCACTGAAATAATGTCACAATCACTGAAATCATGAAATACTAACAATGACTCTACATCTGGGAAGACAAAAAATTAACTACACATTCAACAATTTCTTGAGTCATTGTAGATCTAGCCCTTTTTCTAAATGTGAAGACAACTCATAATAGTGTTAGAATAGTGTTACACTTTCTAATCCATTGTATTAAATTTATTGTATTTTTTATTGTATTTTTATTGAATGTATTTATATTGTCTTGTTCACTGAAAACCTCACTTTTGAAAGTGTACAATGAAGTTTCATTCATTCATTCACTCATCTTCAAATTTGTCCAGGTGGAAGTCTTACATAAGATTAATATGCATCCTCTCATAAGAAAACTTCCATAGAAATTTAGCTAATACCAACCTAGACGACGGTATTCCCTTCTTGCTTAGATCGACTCTCACTTTCTCACCAACATGCCGGTAAATTTCCACTAGACTATTGATTGCACTGTCACGAACCTGTGATTAGTAACAGCAATTTACTTCTTTTAGAAACATATTTTGTTAACAGGGAAAAAACATTTACAGGTACAACAAACACGGAGACAACAGTTACCAAACACAAAGAAACTTAACTGTACATAACGTACATGTAAGTGCATGGATGTTTATCTCAATCACATTGCACTGTAAACTTGAAGAACAACCATTCTTTTCCACATTCTTACCTGACTGTTTGGGTCACCAAGAAGCTTACAGATGTGTGGCACAAATTTTGAGATTGTCAGAGATGATGGACCAAATCTGAATACAAGAAGCAAGCAAGATATTCAGTCCCAAGACCAAAATATTAATGAAATGCCCATACAATTACTAGGTCACAATTTCTTTTATCATACACGTAGCTCCTTAGAATCTGGCAGAACATGGCAGAAATGCTCCTTTTGAAGATTTTCTTAATTTGTCTTCATTAATTTTTGTCTGGCAGCATATATATTTAATATTTTTAGTTCACATTGTGAGGAAAAAAAGGTATTACTGTCACTATGGTAAAAATAAAGCCTAGGGTTATTAAAAAACTTTTTCATTTTATAACCTTGAGGCAACAATAAACTACAGTGTGAGAACTGCATCAAGACAGCCATGATCAATGAAGTTTAGTCACAGTGTACATTACAAGTAAACACATTTTATCAACTTACGAATTTAGAGCAGTAACAAGACAGTGTAGCACTTCCTCTCGCACTCGCCAGGCCTTGTGTCCAAATGCGGGGATTAACTGTTCAAGAACGTGCTGTGAAGAATAACAAAATCATCAAACATTCTTTCTGCTTTTCATAATCCTGACTGACATTTACATGCAAGGATAAATACAATTTTAAATTATTCTTGTAAAGCTTATAAAGTTACCTGAGGTGTGGAAACAGGGTACATAAACTTCTGCAGTAATTCTTGAGAAGAGTCTCGCACCTTAACAAGTAAGAAATGAACACAATATTAGATAACTTGATATGAAAAGAAAAATATCATATGCATCTCTAATTAGCACCACTTAAGTAACATTACTTTGTGGTTACAGAAAACGTATACCTCCCCACAGAAGGTTCACAAGGTTTTCTAGTGTGACCCCACCAATCTGAAAAATACAAGTTTAGCTTACATTTATACTTTCCTTTAAAATTTCTGCCTTATGAGACCCCCACAGTCCATTTTCCACTGACATTCCATGGGGTGGTTACAGATATTTTCTGGAACCTCACAATATATTAAAATTGAATGCACATCCACTTCATCATAAGAAGTACTTGTTACCTAGCAACAAACTCTTAAGCATGTAAGGTAACCAGCGCTGGACTAAAATCCCAGCCAGAAGAGTATGCAATACTAGCCCTAGTGATGTCCCATTACAGAAACAGAAGTTAAACATTAGCCTGATTACCCACTTACCTCAAAATATATGACTAATACAGAACTATACTGTCATTTTTCGATAAAAATCAGCCAGAAAAAGTTTAACACAATGTTTGATGATGCCATGACATCATTTTCAAGTGACAATATACCATGCCTCACATTTTTCATCCTAAGTACCCCCTCTAGTACTTGAGTTTAATGAATAAGACAGTACCCATCATTGTTCATGTGGTGCTTAAAATGAACTCTGAATTAAGTACCTGGGTCACACTAAATCAAAGAATTAACATTGAAAAGGTCCCATGAAATGAAAAGATATTATAGATGTAATAACATACAATCATAAACAAGTACAAGTACAAAAAAATAGCACTGTTCATTTACCTGTTGTTTGCTGTCTCCTAACCTATCAATGATAGCAGGGACAACTGAAATAAATGAAAAAAAAAATACATATCGCTTCAGTTTGAAGTCAGGTACACAAAATGCCCACTAAAACAAGCTGTGGCTTGCACCTGTCAGAAGAAACATTCAAAGCCACTGACTTCACTGAGATCACGGTTCAGAAATACAGATTGAAGTTTATTTTGATTGAATTGATTTTCACTTCTTGAAGAACTCCCTATAAAAATTATGATGAAAGCATTGCTAAACTTGAATTTCACGTCAAGTATTTTCATACTCTAAAACATTTGCAATGCAAGTCACTCTCTAAACTGGCCAAACAATGTAATGGCTACCTCACAAAGACACTAACAATAATGCTCAAGGAATTACAGTGATCTCGATGAACCATACAGTATGATCAAAATTCAAGCCAAAATATTTAAAATGCAAACTATTTCAAAAACCAATTTTTTTTTACTGAAAAACAAAATGTAAGATTGTCAGAACATACTAATAGTAGCTACTATTACATCACTCAGTGTTAATGTTTTAAAGCCATTGGCACTATTAACAGGTAAAACTAACTAGGATAGTTTTGTAGTATTGCAAGAAGCTGGAATTTAACCTTCGAGGAAAGAAGAATTGGGACAGCTGATAATACTGATTTAAAGAGAGAGTGCTCATCAACCTGAAAGCTTTTTCCTTCCCTTCCCCCTCCCCTCCAAAATAACAAACAATCAAGTGTACGACTTGAGGAAAATCAGTCACAGTTTGAACAAAAATTTTGACAAAGCAAGAAGTCATGTATGAAAAAAACCTGCCTCTGAAAGGGTTCATAACACAGAGAAATACATATTAAACATAATCAGGACATACTGTATTGCAAGTAATAATAATAAATTCAGAAAAACACACCTTGATACAAAAGATACTAAACATAAAAAACAGAACTACACAGACAAAAAGAACATTTGAACAGTTTTAAAGGAAAACTTTAAACATTATATCAAACATGAAATAATATTGCACTACATTTTACTTTCACATATTTAACCAGAATGACCATTTGTATATAGGTAGTTTATAATCTCATGTTGATTATTTTACATTTGACATTTGACTTTACCAATGAATATCATCAAATTCAAAACACATTGAAAGAGCTACCTATGCATTCTGTCATGCTAGTAACAAGCATACCTCAAAATGCATTATCATTGACTAAGGTGGACACAGATGGTTCTTTCCAAGACAGAGGAATCACTAAAGTTGGCAATTTTTTTTTCTTTTTTTTTTTTCAATTCAAATAATCTAAGGGGAGTTGAAAGATTTTTATGCAAATGCAGTTTGTCAGCTGTCTCAGCATGGTACTACAGAGCTCTATTTCCTTTTCACTCTAATGCACATTTATTAATAGACCTCCTATGAAAGATTGATACCACTGGTTTTGTCATCATGGCTTTAATCTCAAGGAGAAAATTAATAAAACAACCTATCAATTTTCTAGAAGCAAAAATTTAACTACCAAATTTTGAGGCTAACTTAAGGTACAATCAGCACATGGCTTAATGTAAGCCAATTTTTTACATCTATTTTTGGCTGATTGCAAATTATTTCTACAAGGTACAATGTAGTTCCTGTTATGACTTAAACATCTCAAAATAAAGACAACTTCAAAGCATTGTTGTTGATACCAAGATATATATTGCTAATAAAAAAAAATTTCAGACTGAGCGCTCTTCATGTAGAATGAGCGAGATTAAAAATTACTCTTGCTCAGAATTATTTTAAAATTCATTTTTTAATTTTCAATTATTTTAAATTAATTCAAAATGATTTTAAAAGCAGAGACATAAACAAGATACATTTATAAATTCATCTTGATTATGGTTGCATTACTAAATTAATCCTTATTTTTAATCAGAACACAAAATCCTAAAATAAGCTGCTTGTTGGTAAAATTCCCAAAACTGACCTGTGCCTTAAAACCTCTTCATACAACTATCACCACTGGTGTATGTTATCAGCCACACACAGAATTGCAACTGGCTACAATGTCCATTCCTTGGTATGCAGATATTAATCACTTGTAGTCGCATTTAGGAAATATTAATTAAATTGCCAAAGTTGAAGCAAAAGTCCACTGACAATCAAGAAATATAATCAGAAGTAATTCAATGGAAATACTGCATGAAATTTTTCAATTGCTGTCTTTTGATGTGCTACAAAGGTCTACCAGAGAGTACCTTGAAAGGAAAAGTATCATTATACACTAGTGAGGCCACTCTCACTAACATGTTGGCATACTATAGATTTGTCCCAGCTTGTCACTGATGGGTAGTGACAACTTTGTGTAGGTTTGTAGCAAGATGGAATCTTCTTGTTAATTAGTGCAAAGTTGAGATTGAGATATTTTTACTTGAATGCTCATCAAGCCATGCACCTCTACATTTACTCCCTGTTTCACCCACCTCTATTGTTCTAAGGGCATGGTTTGTTATTTCTATTGTTTATTCTAATGTTTCTTCAGCCAATCCTGTTCAGCCTTCCTCGGGAAATACTGTATGCAACATAAGATCATGTCACATAAGATCAAAGTCTATTTTACAAGAAATGACTTTTTTCAGAAATTGTTAGTATAAAGTTTGTTCCTCTTTCCAATTACTGTTTCCAGGATTGCTATCATGAAATTTTAAAACATTCAACAGTTATATCCATGCATTCTTTTTCAAAGGAATGCTTGTACCTACATCTGCTGCTACCTCTAGACTTATTAGCCCACAAGATTATCTGTCTGCCTCTGAATATAATCCAGAAATTGATTTTAATTAGTAGATAATCCTTCAGCACTGAAACTCCTTTACTGTAAGGTCAGAATCTTGAGGAAATATCACTCAATAATCTCTTGAGATTAAAATTAATCTGAATATCAATACCCCTGTTTTACAAGATTAGCCAGTATAGATGGACTATGATCCCATCATTTGCCAAAATGTAAATTACACTGACTCAAAATATAATTAGTTTTTAACATATAACTAAGCGAGTTGCCTTCCTTTACAAAAATCTTGATGGATAGATCACAGTTCAATTTTTAGGTAGGTTTCACTGTATGACAGTTAAGCTGCATGCAAAGAAAGTCTGTCCAAAGCACAGTCTGAGAGCTACACATAGAGTGGAAACTTTTGTCGGGCTACATTGTACATGTAGTAGATCATATCCACCATTTGCCCGATGAGTATTATGGGATTTCTTATTTGATGAATGAATGAGGATTATTGAGGAAGGGTTTTGGGCTAGCATTCCATGGCTTCAACTCATGGAAAATATATTTCCTTGAAAAATCTATTTTCTTTGCAAGCTGATCAAGTTTCTAATTACATTTATTATCAATGATTACATTTAAGGAGAAACTAAATAGCATTTGCCATAGAAAGTTTAAAAACAGATCAGCTGAGAAAAGAGAAAGACAAAAGTTTAGCAATACTATGAAAACAAACAACTAATTAAAAGCAGTGACACCTTCAACTGGGTGAATAGTTTGCAAGTTCTGGTTTTTTCTATGCACATTCCAAACCATGGAGGAAAGATATTTAGATGTTTCTTCGCAACTTCAACCTCAACTTCACTTTATTTTGCACTTACAATTTGAAATTACAATATTAGCATAAACAAAAGAAAAAAAAGATACATATATAACAATTAAAGGTGACAATGGTATACAGTTTGTGCATGGAGGCTAACAGAGCCGCTAGGTTATTGAGTTAGCCTCCATTTCGTTTGAGTGAACAGAAAAAAACATGGGAGTAGAAGGACGGATTACTAAAGGAAAGAGCTAGAAGAATTGTGGAAACTTACGTTTGATATTGCTGAGATAGATCACAGTGACAAATTTGCAAATTCATTGAGAAATAAACTTTAAACTTATGGTAGGCAATCTTGAAGAAAAAACCTCAGCTATACAAGCAAAAGTTACTGCTATGTGTCAACTCAAACCAAAACACAAAGCATAATGTAAACTAACAAAGCAGACATTGTTGGCCAATTATTAGATTATAATAAATATCCATTCCTTCATTTTAAGTCAAATCTTGACCCACATGATATGATTAATTCCTTACCTGTCAGCACAAGATTTCAATAGCTTAAGACGTTCCCTACATTTATTCAAACTGCTCTAATATACTGGTCACCACTTTGACTATCCATTCAATATGCAAACTTATCTTCTGGTTGGGTAAACACAACGCTCATGCATACACAAGTATGTGAAACGTACGTCATTGCCAAGTCATATAACTTGGGACCATGAAAGATTGCATGACTTAGTAAGAAATTGACAGTTATTTTAATAAAATCAAGTTAAAACATGGAAGAGCATGTGAAAGTTTAATTGCTGTACTTAGAACAATGTGCTGAAAATATGCCATATAGAAAATTTATTTTCTTTAATTGACGCAGAAAGTACTCAATACTTAAGTTATTTAATATGTATAATTATGTACAATAAGGACATAAGCGTCTCCAATAAATTGAGGAATTTAATTTAACTTTGTCGTGACAAACTGGCTGTTGTAATACAGCACTAAAGCCAATTGACACTGCATCTGCAAACATCTCCTCAGCACGACTTGTATAAACACTCCATAACGAGGGAAGAAAAACATATTTATCAGTTATGGAGTAACCCCGTGGATGACTACAAATTGCCTGTCACAATTCGTACTCTTTGGCACAAAACAAGGGAGACTCCGAACACGGTTTGAACAGGTGCTTCGCTTGTTGTGGAAAATTTGCATCCACCAGAAATTTATTTATTTTTAATGACCACGTAATAGGTCTCTTTACCGCCAATCTGAATTTGCAAATGCCTTCACAGGCGAGTTGCTACAGACTTGAACCACTAATGCAGACTCGACGAAAAAGAAAATGCATGCCGATCGTTCCTCGATCCATTACATAAGGGACCAGACTGCCGAATTCACAGCTTGCCTGTGTAAACAAAGACAGGGATTGCCAACAAAACATTTCGTAACCCTTCAAAGACTAAAACGCCGCCGGTTTTTGGTTTGTTTTTGATACCTTTAACATTTCAGACTTTGATTCAAACATAGATCTCAGTGCAGACATCGGAATCGATAAAAGGGTATCTAATCACCTCGGTCCCCGACACCGTGTGCGAAATAGATTACGGTGTATATATTATTTAGCACAAAGCATGGGAATATTGTAAAAGCTAACCTGGCAAAAGATGGCTCCGAAAATTAGCTCCAAGGCGATCAACAATCTGATGAAGGAGATCCAGTCCAGTCAGGCTTATCTAAATAAAAATAAAAGCATATTATCATTTCTTTGTATGATAATTTTCTCTGGAAAAGACGGATAGTCTAGCTACTCAATAAGAGAGCAGGGGAGCCAATATTTTACTCAAGAAAACAAAGAATGGTTTCACTAATTTGCAGTAATAGCCCGAGTCTTAATTAATCAACGACTGCAGTCTTCACAGAATAGCCGACCACTGCGTAGAAAATAAATAGGAATATTCTACAATCCCGCAAGCTAACTCACTGTAGTGCAGTATATTCTCTGGTACATGCACACCAATACGACAACCAGCCAAATCAAATAATTGCGATAAATTGTCAGCTCGCATGCTTGCGAAACTTGCCACAGATTTTCTCAATCTGTAATGCAGAAGAATAAAATCTCGAGGACAAGATAGCAGTACATGCTTTCACTGTCTACTTGCCTTAAAATTACTGCTGTTGACCCAGCCAATAAGACCATCCAGGAGCTTGTCGAAACCAATGAACTCTATTCCATTTGAAGGATCGCTGAGATAGTTCGAGAAGTCTTCGGCCGCCTTCAGTCTTTTTTGCGTATCTTGGGATGCAACAGCGGCTAAAATGCCTTCTAAGAATACTATATCTTTCATTTCCTCTGTCTGATTCTACGTCCAAGTAGAAAATTAAGTGAAGTCCCCACAAGAACAATCTCGGTATATTTCACTTTCAAACTCTTTCGAACCGCATCACCCTGGAACACTTGGCTGATTCGCGGCTTGAAAGTTAAGATGGCGCCCCGTAATGTAAAGACATCGTCCTTAATAAGCGCTTTTGTTTGTCAGCTAAACAATAACATCCAAACAGCCAAATCCAAGAGAGTTCAGCTTCGTTTCTCCCAACCAAAATGTCCTCTTCAGGATTCACACGATTTGGCCGCCATTTTTAGAGTCCAACGAATGCGAGGTAGTGACGTCATGGCAAAATCTAAAGAGAATTGCAAATTAATCAGAGTTGTGAAAGACCCCGAACGCGACAAATGAACACCATACAGAAACACAACCAAGCAAAAGCACAATCAGTTTGCTTCGCTTCTTTGTCCGTATCGATAAACATTTTATTTATCCAAAGGGAATATCTTTGCCGATATAGATGCTTGGGCAAGCTTCCAATAAGGGTTAGTCAGCGTGACACAACGTGTCACGCACGAACGATGGTAACAAAGCGTAACTCTGTATATTGCCAGATAAACATATCTCTTGTTATAGCAAAACGTGTGTTTCTATTTAGGGAATATAAAACATGTTCCATGCGTTTCCATAGATTCGATTTAAGTAGATGTTTGGAAGTAAGAACCAAAACGGTGGAAACAAATCTGTCACGTAAACCATTTCATATTTTTACAGCTGTTCCAACTGAACTTCTCGGCTCGATTTCCAGCCGTTTTATTGGCCCACGGGAAAATTAAAAGTAAATTTTTTCTTTATTTCTATTCTGAATGAACACCCGAAATAATTTTCTTCGTACTTAAAACTGTTAAGAAAATCGTAACGTTTTTTCTGCAGTAACACTGAAAAACGGCTTGTGGCAGTTTGATAGCACTATAAATTGTTGCGAAGGCTTGAATGAATTCTGCAGTACAAAGCTACTATTGCATGACATTGCTCGCAAACTTTACCGATCTGGTTTAAGTATGCTAGCTCATACCTATTTTTGCTCACACTCTGCCCAGTCAGCAAATTTTCGGCACTTCGTTCAAACGTTCATTAGCATTTAATTGGAGGGACAGTAACTGTTTTTTGTTCCTGATACATATACTGCAATCGTCTGGATGTTTCACTGAAATAAGCCAAGTTCATTCAAATCGTATTTAAAGTACTCAGAAGGAAGATTATTTCGCCAGATTTTTTTTTTTTTTTTCACTTTCTGTGCCTAATGCAAGTATCAAAATCCATTTAAGGTATGCAGCCATTCACTTGATAACTGACCTTTTCAATATCAAAAGCCATAGCTTTTGATTTTATGGGGGTCCAATCAAAATTCCCAATAAATTGGCAATCTTGCTTGGGCCGACTTCAGCCAAATCGTACGAATCAGAAGCAAACTGTTAAAAAAAGCTACTCCCGTTCGTACTTGTGCAATGAAAGCTGTTCTCCGTGCATATTTTCGAATCTCATGATCAGTAAAAGTGATCAACCTGAAGGCAGTCCTTTTCATCACCAAGCAAGGGGTCAAACAGTCAGATCCGATCAGTCATTCTAAAAATACTAAATGGTCAAATATATACTCGAGACGCTTGACAAGCAGTTCAAATATTTTTCCAAAATCATGATAAAACTGCATATTTATGTTGAGGTTTGCTAATGGTCCATTCATTCCTTCTCTAAATTCTTGCAGCGATTTGCTTTTGCAGGTTCTTTTTTTTTTTTTAATTTGTCCCCAAGCCCCTTACGCCATCCTTTATATTTCGAGCTCTACCCAGCTGTCGGGTGATTCCGCGAGTGATATTGGCGAGCAC